GGTCTAACCTTTTTGATCTGAATTTATCAAATATCCTTTAATGCTATATTGTCGGGGAATAATATTGAATTTCAGGACTCTTGAGCTTGGCGGAATAGAATTTCTATCGACGGCAGTACTGTCGAAAGTTTTGGCCGGTGCAGCAGTTCGAAATTTGGCTGTAGTCTGCCCTCGGATTGGATTCCATACCTATCTACACCAAGAAACAGCATTAAAGCGACTGGAAACACTTCTTGTACAGGTAAACATTGCTATTTTCAGTGATTTTCCGGAAAATGACGACACATAAAAACAAATACCAGTTTCTGGCTTTAAATGCCTTCGCATCAAGGGCTTTTTTGACTTTTCAATATGTCTGAACAACAACCAGACCTTGAGGGAAGGGGTGAGGGGAGGGAAAGCCTGTTTCTGCAGTCGAAAAAGCTGAGAGAGAGCCCTGTTTTTAAGAAAAATTAAAAACAGATGCGTATAATATTATCACAAATATCAAAATACTATTTTAATTAAAGGTGAAGTAGCCATTTGATGCTGTTTTCGTGCTAGAAGTCGAGGGTTTCACTTCGCCAGTGCGACGGCCAGCCCATGTACGATTCTTTTACCTGTTTCAAAAATAAACTGGTGCCAGGGAACCCAAATGTTCATTAGCTTGCACTTAAACAGGGAACCATTGACAATCTTTTCAACCACTGGTTGCTGGCTACTCTCGGAATACTTCCCAATGCCATCGCCTCTCACAGTGAGCAAATACAGCAGCGGTTTTGACTTTTGACTTTGACATTTTATGCAGCACGTGAAGATGTGTGAAAGCTGCGACCCTTGTCTTACAGTGTTCTTCATCGTTCGAGCTGGAGAATGCTGGAGTGCGCGAAAGCGTTGTTCAAGTGTTGCAAAGTATGAATGAAAATGGGGTACTGGAAATTGTGCATGTCACTGGGAACAGTGTAACTCAAGCAGCCCGAATTATGAGTTATTGGCTTGAAATTGCCAGGTCTGTTTTTTTTTTGCAGAAAGCTAAATTCGAAAAAATTTAGATCTTTTTACGAGATCGTTGGCTCTAAAGATTTGGATGTTTTAGGGAAACAAAACGCAGGGTGAAATTGAAATTATCCGGAATATCACAGAATCGAACTGATCAGGCTGTCGGTCGCCTGTTACGAAAGTGTGATAATGTATTCAAAGTTGCATTTAAAGGTGAATAATTTTGACACGTTTTCACTGTTTGGTTCATTGTGTACCATCCCGGCAGGCAACTTCTAAAACTAAAACCTTCCATACGCCCTGTTTGGGGGAGTTTCGAGCTCCTCTCCCCTCCCCCTGTTTCATCTTACTGATTGAGTTCGGGTCCTCACTAACCTGCCTTCTGCTTCCATCAGCTGAATAAAGTAGTCATTTGGCCAGTTACGATGCGTATTTCAGGATTGTCATTGGTTCTATCACGGGGCGAAGGTTGCGTATGCTTGCTCGACAGATACACGTGGTTTGGCGAGGATGATGATTGATGAACAATGCTAAATTCATTAACTATGAAGCCAATTGACACTTAGAAACAAACTGACCTTTTTGATTTTTTATTAATTACTGTTGTTTTGTTTCGGTTTTTCTGTAATTGTTAAATTTTTTGTCTATTTTTTCATTACTTTTTTATATTTTTAGTTTATTTGCCCATTGTTGTTTTTTATTATTATTGCAACATTGAGTATCTGTTAATGCCATTCAGTATAAAATGATTAAATAATTGATTTTAAGGCGCTGTTCTCACCGTAAGTAACTTTCGCCGAATTCAAAATTGCCACGTGGGATTGCAAAGTAGCGCCAAACCATCGGTGTTGCTTCAAAAACAGAAAAAAAAAACTCACAAATATACATTTATCGTCTTATCGTCTAAGCCAGCTTCTGGGATGCATAAGGGAATACACATACATACCTAGGTGTAAGTGACATTGATTTCAAGCTCTTTGGATGGCACGTAGCTGAGAAACATCCTCAGTGAAATTCCAGTTCCCTAGCTTCTGCGATTGCTGAGTTGAATGTAGGTGAAAAAAATCCGAATTCACAAATATAAGCACACACCGATATTCTTTCGACAATATGCGTTTTTGCAATTTATATGTAGATGCAAAATCACTTAAATATGCCAAGAATATCGCCCCGGGCAGTCATTGTGGCTATCCAGTGCTAGTGATGTTTCTGGAAAGTTCATATAGATATACCAGGCGTAATAAATATAAGTTGCAAATGTTTGAACAACGCCGCTTTCCCAGAAGAATAATTTGTTACAAACTTTCGTAAAAACGAAGCTTAGTCTCCCACTCATCTCATCTTTCCGCCGCGCTTTTTTCTGACAATAAACAAATTCTCCTTTCTTTTTAAGCTACTCACATATTCCGTCTAAGAGCCTGTAGCATTTACTACTTATACTTTATGTGTATGTGCATGTTTGTATATAGGGTTCTGTGTGTCTGTGTGCGTTTTCCCTGCGTTTATTTATCTGTGTGTGCGTGAGTGCGTCTACGTATGTTTGAATGTAAGTATATGCCTGTATGTATGTGTGTGTTGTGTGCGTGTGTGTGTGTGTGTGTGTGCATGTGTTTGTGTATGTGTCTGTGTTTGTATGCGATGCTGTTAAATCGATGGGTGACTGTGTGTTGAGGCTCAGTAAAGCTGTACGAATGAGAGTAGCTTTGTGAAGTAAGCTTAAGCCTGACTGAAGGCGCATGGACTCGCTAGGCTTGTTTCGTTTATCTTTTTAGGCTAAAATATTCAGTATCAGACCTTACCAATGCAATTTTGGTGAACTTTAATGCGGAATGTAAGACAGCTAAAAGCTGCGCTGAGAAGCAAAAACTCATTTCAAAAACAAAAAAAAAATGACCTTGCATTATCAATTCTCGCTAAGACAAGGCGATTCCCGGGAGGAACTAAGCTTAAACGCTTTAAAAATCCGGTTTGATCGGCTTTTATTTCATCGTCGTCTTTCTTTTCACTGTTGATGCAGTTGGCAACTTCTCCATTCTTCTATTTTGAGCCTCTCTCATCCACATAATCAACAATCTTTCAAGCAAACTTTTTTACCACGCTGGCTGCATTTTATGCGCTCTTTTAACGCTGCTTGAGTATTATGTATTGACTTGGTATTTGGAGCTGCTATTAGTTTATCACTGATTCATATTCGGAACGCTCTTCAGTTATGTAGCTGATAATCATACCATCACTGTCATCAGCCTCTGGCTTATCCACTTTATTATAAATTTTTTAAGAATCCGTGTTTATTAAAATAGTGCTTACAGCAATTCTTAGTTTCTGTACGCGAAACGCATGCGAGTCCGGCCATGGAACTGCATCTCAATCAAATTATTTCTTAATGGCTAATACAATCGTTACGATATTTTTCGTCGGTTTTGGTTGCAGTGTACTGATCCGATTCCTGTAAACTTTTTTTCTTTGATATGATTAGTTTGATTATTATGCGTTTTGTGCTGTGTAACAGCAGTACAAAACGCATATTGTTACGGGGTTGTCTGTGT